TTCTGCTCAGCAACAGAAACCAGAAGCTAAGCAAAGTAAAGGTCTCTAGGACCCTAAGTGAGTCTCACACCATGAATCTCCTGCTTGGTCTCACAAATCCTGAGGCCACTTGCCTTCTGCTTTCTGAGTTTCTTTGAGAGCTCTCTTTCTGAGAGTTTACAGAAGTTCATATGTTGTTTCAGGGCTCAGGAAGTCTGCACTCTAACTGTATATAACTTGGTTCATGTAAGCTAACAAAGACTACCATGAGAAAGAAGTAATTAAACAGGCAAATGTCATGTGACAAAAAGTCAAGAGAAAGGTCAGGAGATGAAAAGGGGCTGAGCGATGAATCCTAACAGTGAAAAGGGGGTGTAGCCTGCGGGAGACTGACAAGGTCCTCTCAGAAATGAAGATCACTAGTCCCCTTTGCCGGAAATGGTGCTTGCTATTCTGATTCACTCAGTGTTTTGTTTTCTGAGAAAAGGGATTAATGATTCCACAGTTTCGAAATTTCAGAAACAGGTGAGTGTCTCTTATGTAAATCTTCTCGATTTCCCTTTTCAAATAAAGCTTTTAATACCAAAAGAGCTCAAGCAAGACAGTGCCCCGGATGGACAGCTATCATTTTGAGAATTCAGCAGGAAACCACGCATTTCTGGGAGTTCCTGGATTCATCTTCCAGAGGGGATAATGCAGAACACAGTTTTCTCTCAAAGTGAGGAGGAATATCTGAGGAAAGTTAAGGCCATGGTGTTTTTTACTACAATCTTTAAAAACTAAGCATTTGCTGTATATTTGATCACATGTCTTCATCAAATGAATGAGAGATGAGACCAGAGTTCATGGAAAACACCGTGCCTCGATTCTCTGAACTCCTCTGAATCACAGACTAAGGACAGTGAGGTACCAACCATCGACAAGCAAAGCAAATTTTATTAAAGACGGGAAATTTTAACCAGTTGTAGAAGAAAAATGTACATGCTTTACATGCTTTAATTCATTTCTTGGAGGTCTAGAGATGTCTACATTCACAGTCAATGTTCTGCATTGGCATGGAGGTTGAGGATGGCTGTCTTACCTTGGGAGAATTGGAAAAGTCCAAAGAAAGAAAGACTCTCGTGTGAACACATGACACACACGTGGTTAGAGTCTCCGTGGGGATCACAACCTTGAAGTGGTCGTTTCAAAGCTTCCAGCCTCCAGCCACGTTGACACCAAGTCTCTGGATGGTCCTCGGGGTCTCACCCTCAACCCACAGGACCCGAGTGACCAACACGTCCCCTGAGCAAAGAGCCCCACGGATGGTGTGCACCACGGGAGAAACTCTCCGCTGCACCCCTTCCTCTACATTTAGTTTTACTCTTCATTACGAAGGATATTAAAGCGACAATGATATGTTCTTGCACCGGACCAAAAGTAATAAGCCCTTCTGGTAAAAAGTGGTTTTCTCTCTTAAGGGTCAGAGATGTCTACGGGAACCAGGCCAGATTCTGAAGCTCATTCTGTTCACATTTATCATAAATAAACTTTCCTTATTGACAGAATCACTGAAAGCCCTTTTCAAAGTTTATTTTTGGGATCAAGTGATTTATTTTACGTCACTGCTTCATCCCTTTTCTAAATTCATATAATTGACATTTACTGCTAGACACTGCCAGTACTTTTCTTATTAATTAAATCATACCATGCAGAGATCCTATGAAGCAGCACTAACTTTGTCACCTTCAGTTTGCACGTGAGCAAAAGATCCTGTGAGGTGAGGCCCGCTGAGGACGCCACGGTGGGAAAGGGCTGGGTTGAGCCTGAACCCAGTAGTGAGCACTGGAAGTCAGCTGCGGCCTGCCCCCGGCCGTGAACACAGGGTGACCTGAGATGTCATCAGCACCACACAGCCCAGGGCAGGCGTGCAAGTGCCCTCGTAGGCCTGTCACGGGTGGCCTTAATTTGTAGGGTGGTTAGAGAATAAGTTATATCCTTAAATTTTCCAATATTGCCTGACACCAAGTTGTGCAATTCTCTTTCTTTTGGTTCCCTACACGTTTGCCCAGATTTCATGGAAGGCATTGAAGCCACATGCTTCCATCAGAATGATTCTCCACGACAGGGCCCTAAAAGCAATATGGTCACAGACTACGGACAAAAAATATGGGTCAAAATTAGCCTTACCTCCTTTGTGAGGTTTTCTCACAGAATTTGCCACGGCATAGAAAGCTGACTCATATAGTGACTTAATATACCACTTTGTTAACAAGTTGTATATGATCAGACTCTGAGCTGGGCCTGCTGTCTTTACAGTTGTACCACTTTAATCATGTTCATTACTCCCTGTTTTTCAGTTGTCTCAGTGATAAAATAAGTGATGTAATAAACTAGAGAATATACATATATACATGGATATGGAGATATATATATATATATGGAGGATGTGAATCAGGACTGCTTGATCACCATTCGTTAATTCCGTTACCTTGAAAGAGTGTCTCCTGAGTTCCTCCGCCTGGCCTTGAACTTGCAGTTCTCTTACCCCAGGCTCCTTGGGCATCACCACTCGGCCTCTGTTGTTACCTTTTAGGAGACCCCTGTGCTGCTTTCCTCAGAGGCTGCCACACTTCACAGTCCCACTGACAACGCACAAGGTTTCCTCTATGGCCACAGTGCAGCCTCAAGTGCAGCTCTGGTCTCCGTTTTCTAAAATTGTACATCTCAGGTATAAAAGTCCTTCTGAATTAGGACCTGATGCCCAGGAGGGAAACGCAGAGACAGAAGTTCTGCCGTGCCACACCTCCCCACCCATTCTGCCTCCACGGCCAGCACGGCAAGGTGGAATCTCCACTCCACTTGGCTCCTCCTGCTCTTTTGTAAAAACTTCTCCTCACTCCCCCTTGCACCTGTTTGTTTCGGGTGAACTTGGCCGTGTGGTGGTGCTCCTGTTCTCCCCAACTCTGTTCTCTCAGGCCCCTCCTGACCGTCTGTTCAGCTTGTTGAATTCTACAGGCCCGGAGTGGCTCTGCCTGTGCTTCCGGTGACCCTGTCACCAGGTCCAGTCCCTTTCTCGGCACTGCCTGCCTCCCTGTGTGTCTGCAGCCCCCTCTGGGCCTCCTTCACCGCTGGCATCCTGAGCCTCAGGTGCAACCCTCCTAACTGACAGGCCGCAGTAAAGACTGTAAGAGCTTGGTTGGAATCAAAGTCATTTTTATCCCTTTATTAAGTTTTCTGTGTGCCAGCAAATCACAGTTGCGATGGTGGTTGGACAGTCATGCTCTTCCTGCGGGTCTTGCTCAAGGTAGAAACCCCCTGAACGGCTTTCACCATCATCACAATGCCACCAACAGTGCTCCTCCAGCAGGGCAGAGGAAAGCCTGGCTTCGAGAGCGTGGCTCGTTTTGCACTGACCAGGAGCCCGCACTCGCCCGAGCAACGGCTCAGGCAAAACAGGCAAATCTGGACTCTGCTTATGGGCAGCCAGTCACGGGGCCCTGGTCTCCATAGTGATGGTACATAATGACATGTGGCCTCTGGAAGACTGCCTAGGCAAGGCCCACAGTGTCAGCACAGCCCAAGGAGGACGATGGCAACAGAGGCAGTGTGTTGGGCAGCAACTCCCATGAGGACGAGAGTTTAAGCCAACTAGGCAGAAAGTAGGACCGCCATAACACTTGCCATCTACAAAGTAAAGGAAACATCTCGGGCAGATGTTGAGAACTGTAGGAAGAATTGAACTCCACAGAAACAGAACTTTCTGAGGGGTCCCGTTTTCCTTAATGGAACTGAGTGCTGGTGACCAAGCCCGACGAGAGGTACTGGGATTCTTCACCACTGCAGGAGAGCGTCCCTCCTTTAATTCATGGGTCTGCAGCATCACACGCCATGAGCTGTTTCAACAGAGAGGATACATACAACTTCGTGTATAGTTGTTAAAAATCAAGTTTTCTTCCACTTGGCCAGGCTACGGTAAAGTAAGAAAGGTTAGCAGCCTCTGGCATGTTGGACAAAGATTACAAAATGATGCCTGTTATCATTATTGAAGGTTAGTTTCAGTTAACTTTTAAACCATACACTGCTTTAGTCATCAAATCAGTCCTACCATAAATGCATTATTATTAAAACACTTTTACAATTGTGAAAACTGAGTTATACAAATGATGTCACTGTCCTTAGGCACAATGACCCATAAGTGTGGATCTGAAAGGAGTGAGTGGTAGCTGCTCCACTCTCCTGTCCACTCCAGGGGTGGAGACAGAGCTGGCCCCGGGGTGGCCCCAGCATCCTGGCTGCTGGAAATGAGGACCCCTGGCGCCACTGCTGGACTCAACTGAACCAACCTGAAACGTCCATTACACAGTCACAGGGTCCCCTGCACTGACAAAAGTGTTCCTAGGGGTTCTCAGACCTGCTTCCCCCCAGAATCAATGGAAATGTTTGAAATGGGAAGGTGTCTGGGCTTCACTCCAGAGCCTCACTGCACGGAGAGGCACGGGCTCGACCGGACTGCACTTCCCAGACCTGACCGCTCTGTCCCAAGCTCTGAGTCCTGGCTCCTGCTCTCTCGCTTACACTTACACAGGGCATTTGGATGATGGAAAACTCCTCCTCCACACCCACAGGGAGCAAGATCGCTCCATTGTGGGGAGCAGCAGGGTGCACTGCGGTGACAGGAGCTGCCCTTGGCTCCTACTAACACTGAGACTGGTCCTGGTGACCACGATCAGGTTGAAGTGGAAGGCTGGGGCTCAAGAGGGAGGGAGCCAGTAAGCGGCTGCTTGTTCTCCTGTCACTCACTTCTGCCCAGGAGCTGGACCGGCCTGGTGAGTTCCCAGTACTGCTGAGGCTCTGCCCCCTCTGACTCTTGGTGGGGAAAGAGAAGAAGGTCGGAATGGTTATTTTACACCCCAAATTCCTGCAAAGGAGGAAAGCAGTCGGCAGCGTTCAGTGCTCCTTAGTGGTAAGGCAGCTGGAGAAGGAAGGGCAGAGACAGCCATGGGTCTGTTCACACGAGCACTGTGGCCTGGAGACAGACAGGGGTGGCCTTCACGGGCGTGAGAGAGGGGTCTTCTTGTGCACCTGCTCTCCTACGACCAACCACTCTCTCCTGCTGCCCTGCGGTGTGTCCCAGATTGTGAGGACCCACCTGCACCTCCGAGCTGAGAGAGAGAGCAAAGAGCTGTGCAGGAAGCCCGAGGCTCCAGCAGTGGATTCTACAGGAGCCCGGTCAGGCAGAGTCCCCCGGGCCGCCCTCCTGGGCTCCGCCCAACTCCGGATGGAGGGAGAGCATGGAGGGATGGCACCAGCCTTGGCTCAGGAAGGAGGGCTGCTTGCCAGGCCTGGTGACCTGCCACGCACCTCTGGGCTGGACCAGGGAGGCTCCCCAGGTATAAATCGCTCCACGCCGCGCCATCCTCACAGGCTCTGGTGCCAGAGTGCAGTTCATTCACCATTTGTGACACTGACAGCTCAGAGCAAACCAAGCAGCATGAAGCTGTACCTGCCTCTTCTGCTTGCTGCTCTAGGGCTTTGCTCCCATGAGGGTGAGTATCACTGGTGACCAGTCCAGCACCAGCCCCTGGTAAGTTCCCGGCTCTGAACATGAGGGACAGCGGTTTGGGGGAGGATGGGATCCGAAACCAACAACAACCCACACTTGGATGTGCTGGTAGGTCAGCTCCCTGAGACACCAGGGCTCATTTCCTGAGCTTCTCCACACCTAAAAACCTTTATTGAGAATCACTGTGGGCAAACTTAGAAATTCAGCCCGGACCCTCACTCCTTCACTGCCATCTGATCCGTGGGTGCTGCAGAAGGTACCACGAGGCCAGGCGTCACTCTGGGCCCTGCCACGCAGCGCTGAGGCCGTGGATCTCGAGCTCACTCCACAAATGATCTTTTGTCAGGGGCTATGTTTATAGCCGCCGTCCTGGGGGTGCACAAAGGGTCCAGCTGCAGATGTGAAGCTGATCTCTGTAGTCATCAGATATCACCTTCCCAGAGACCATGAGGCACTGTCAGTCCCACAGCTTCTTCACATTAAATTCAAACTCAGAGTGTTGGGGTGGAGGACATGTGGCCAGCGCCCAGCCCAAGAAGAGGCTGCCAGTGCCCTCAGAGTCTCTGCGGAGTAAGACTTCAAATGAGGGTGGGGCCAGGCCCCCCGTGGCGTGAGTGCTGAGGACAGGAGCCCTGCTGTTGTGTGCTGGCTCCAGTACAGCCACTCAGCTGTGACTCCTACCAGCTGCACCGAGCCTGTCTTTCTGTCTCGAGCACAGAACCAACCTCTCCCAGTCTTTCTCTGTCCTCCCACTTGCCAAAATCGCTCTGCTCTTTCTGTGCTCACTCTGCCCCACCCTCTCCAGATGCTCCCCGAGGTGTGATGCCCACTTTGGGATCACACTGGAGCCTGGCAGGGCACCTCCTCTCCACAGTGGCCTGCAAGAAGCCTTTGTCCTCTGTGCAGCACCGAGCAAACCTTTCCCTGGTCTTCCTCACAAGCCCGACTGGGCTCGGGAAGGAGTCCGCGTCCCTACCCGCAGCCTGTCTTGGGATCTGGACTTCACTGCAGAATAGAGGTCATCACCACTTTTCATATCACTTTCCGAGGTTAAAGCCAATTGCTTCTCTTATAATTTCTGCTTTTTAGCCATGACCTTATCCAATGGCATGCAATAATTTCTTTAGCCTAATCTCAAAATATCAGTTTCATCTGCTCTCCCCCAGGTTCACTCTCACTACTCTAATCTCTGGCCGACCGTGACTCTTCACATGCACTTCAGAGTTGACGACAAAAACTGCTCTTCCGCACTGTCCAGCACTGGGGAGGTGTAAACAATGGGCAGAAACACCTACTTATTAAACCTAGACCAGGGAATTTCTGCAAACCAGAGAACCTTTGAAAAGTACTGAGTGTGCCTTTAAAAGATGAAAATACTAACTGTGTGATCAGGAAGCCTGACTTTCAGTCCTAGCTCTGTTCTTGCTGTGTGGCTCTGAGCAAATTGTAATCTTCAGAGTCTCACGCTTTCATCAGAAACATTATTGATGGGAGCATAAAGTGCAGGTGGTTCTATGTTGTCCAACTTCAGGAACCCAAGGGAAAACTTTTCTTCCATTACAAAATTTTTGTTTACCTTTGTTCCAGCCAATGCTATACCATGTCCAGCACTTCAAGATGAAATTATTAAATTCCTGATGTCGACTAAATACCTGTTTAAAATGAGTCTTCGCAAATTCAACCCACCTGAAGAAGCCGTGGCTGCCAAGTTGCTAGTGAAGGACTGTGTGGCTAACCTTAGCTTTTTATCCAGAATCAGAATACTAAAAATACTGGTAACTTCCTTCTCTTTATGCACAAGGCTTCTCCCCAGACACAGCCAGGAAGAGGGCTGGCCTGCTTGTCCCCAGAGATGCAGCTGGGGTGTCTGCCCTGCTGCTCTGCTCTTCACAGCATGAACCAGGGCCACAGAGAGGATGCTAGGAGCTCACCTGCTGAGTTACAGGCAGACACACACAGCAACCTGGGCAGCTTCCTCCTTCTCAGGGCACCTCCCTGGATGATGTGTTCCCTGTGGTGACCTCACCATAAACAACCAGGTCCAGGCAGGGCTGGTTCGTGGCCAAGCCTCCTTCCTCCCTGTCGGTACTTTGATGAAGGTCACCGTCACTGTGGAATGCAGTGGGGCTCGAGCAATGTGCAGAGAGTAAGGAGGGGCCTGGGCCCAGCTCTGTCAGAGCCCAGTCTGCAGTGGGTTTCTCTGCAGACTGACAGAGCTGGGACTCTCCTGACGACACTGCTGCCCACAGACCCACCCAGCCCCTCCCTGAGTCTCAGCACTCCATCGGTCCCATGGCAGGGCAGAGTAGATGCCAAGCCCTGAGGCATCAGATGAAAGAACTCCTGGGTGCTTTGGTTTCCCATTCTCTTACCCTTCCATGGAGACCTGAGCCACACCTTGTGTCACCGCAGTGTGTACTTGCCTGACTTAGATGAGGCCTTCACCCAATATAATGCTTTGATGTAATTGTACCAGATCCCTTCCCAAGTTTCCCATGCGTACTCTAGTTTTTAGTCTTTTGCTGTTACAAAGGCTTTTGCTGGCAAACTCCATGAACTTCTTGGTTGAGTTAATATGCCTTTTCCAGAACCTGCATGATGACCTCACCTTTCCTTCTTTCTCTTTTTGTTTAATTTCAGAGCAAGATTACACAAGAATGTATTTACGATGATAAAAAACATCTTTTCTCCTGATGTACTCAGTCTTTCAAGGATTCCCTGGTCTTCACTGCAAAATGTAAAGGTTTCAACGTCTTGCTTCAGTAAATTTCTTGCCCTGCACATCTCCACTTGTGTTATTATTATCCTCCAATTTGGGTCTTGCATTGAGAGGTTTTCATGATGAAGTGGCCTTTTGGGGTTGGGAACAATCAGTTCCAGGTGTGATGCCCTGGTAACAAAGGTGTCCTGAGGACCCACATCACCAAGGGGGACCTTGGTCAGGAATCCTCCTGCACTGCCTTCACATTCCCCACTCCTGCAGACTTGACTGACAAGCGATGCTCCAGACTCGCAAACACTGGCCTGTCCCAGGGCCGCTGTGCTCACTAGAGCCTCCCGATTTTACCCTGGACTGACACTGCCAATGTCTGTCTAGGCGCCCCTCCTCTAATATCTTCCTCCTTCAAACTGTCCTAAATCTGTGACAGGTTCACATCGCGAAAACCGAGCTCTGGTGATGGCATAAGCTTCATTACTGTAGACCTGCACTGGCTCTCCTTTCCATGGAATAAAACTCAATTTCTCAAGTCAGAAATTAGAGTATTTAAGCTTGTATCTATCACAAGCAAATCTGCACAGCATTTCAAAATCAGTGTTTGTCCGTTCTTCTCTCTGTGTTTCCAACATTACTGCTCCAGACCACCAACCATGGTTTCTCGCAGATATAGAGACTAGGGATAAGAGAGAGGGGAGTGGGAAAGCCCCTAACTGACTCATCCTGTCTCCTGATTGGCCCAGACCCAGAGGCCCTGCCAGGTGCTTGGTCTCAGGGACTTCCAGAAGGACTTCACAGAATGCACAGTCCTGATTCAGTGCATGGATTTCACGGTCACCAATAATTAAGAAAGAAAAGGAGCTGGAGAGAAAGTAAAAATATAAGCAAGGACAGTGACAAAAGAAATGTAAAGAAAAATGAAAATACTACAATAAAAGACATGTTTCTGGGCCTGGGATTTAGCTCAGTGGTTCTGCCGCCTGCTGCGCAAATGCAAGGACCTGAGTTCAATCCCCGATACCAGAAAAAAAAAAAAAGACTTATATCTATAATTTTTAGGAGAAAGAAATTAAATGTGGAGTACAAAAAGAATTCTAGATGTTAACCCCACTATGTTCTACAAATAGAATTGAAAAATGAGGGCACATAGGGAGGAAAAACATCACAAAAAAGGGATCAAAGAAAATTTCCACAATTAAACTAGGTAATTCAAAATCCACAAAAATCCAGCCACAACATATGAATGGTATGTGGGAAAAAGTGTAAAACAAGAGTTTTTCTTTCTTTTTTTTTTTTTTTTTAAGAGTTTTTCTTGTAGGAAGTACAATGAGATCTTCTTTGGCAGTTGAAAGCAAGACATCCACAGTACAACTGTTGAAGATTTGTAACCCAGAATTCTGGATGAACATCAATCTATGTGGGGCCCATTGTCAATTAAGTCTAATGATATAATAAAGACAATTTCTTTTTAAAAATCTTTTCATTAAAAAGCAAAACAAAATTTCATAGCAAGATAATTAGAAAATAATCATATTTATTATACTGTCCATCATAATCTTAATAGCCAAAAGATTACTCAGAGTACAAGTCACAGACAAAAAAGACTCTCTCCTATAAAGAAGGAACAAACAGATAATAACACAAAATTTGAAGCAGGCCTGGTGGCATATGCCTGTTATCCTAGCACCCAGGATACAGAGGCAGGAGGATTACCACCAGTTTGAGGCCAGCCTGGGGTACGTTATGAATTCTAGGCCAGCCTGAACTACATAGCAAGAAGTTATCTCAAGAAAAGAAAAAAGGAGAAGAAAGGTATAGCACAAAATTTTCTTTTCAATTAACTAAGAGAATCTAGTAGTGTGTGCTAAAATATTTTGAAACAGTGGAATAGATAATTTGGGAGTTATTTGAACTTCTCCCTACTTCCTAATTGCTGATGTCAGGTCTAGGCCATCCTGTCAATACCCAGCTTGAGTTCTCATGAAGAGAATTGAAGATTCTTTCTGCACATGTGTCCTGGAGCTCTGTGATTGACAGATCACACCCACTTTCCCAGCCAGTTGGCCATACCCTAATCTCCTGCCTCACTGGGGACCCACTTTCTCCCACTGGGTCCAATCTCCTCATAGGCCATTTCATTATGATCTCATAAAAGGGTGCATCAACTGATGAGTTTGGTGTCCTGTGACCCAATACTCTCTCTAGGCTGTACCTCTCAGTTTTTCTCCAGTGGGTTCACACCTTCAACACAAGAGTCCTTGGGAGGTACCCCCATATTTAAACCATAACTGTGTCTGCTACTGGTCACTTGGGAGATGGACTGGAGGTGGGTGCTACCGCAGGTCTATCTCAGACACACCTGTAATTTGGGGTCCTGACTTAAATCCTTGCAATCAGTGATGCAACAATGTAGTTTCTTTATTTATATCTCTTATATCTCTTTATGTATTTATTTTTTCCTTTTGAAGAAAAGATCATTCACCAGTCATTCAAAATGCTTGTGAGGATGTAGAGCAACATGAATTTTATTCATTGCTAGTGAGATATGGCAGACCAGATGGGAAGAATGAGGCCCAATTGGCCTCCTCGGTGAACAATGAGAAGAGAGCATGCAAGTGTGCCAACATGCTGCAGGGAAAAGTAAAAACACCTGAGGTTAAGTTTTTTCTCCAGAGAATTACGGTGGAAGGAGGGAGACAGATGAATCCTGTGAAACTCTGATGGCTTGTGCCCATGCCTGAGTGAATAAAGCCAGGGTGCGCCAGTCATTTGGGGCTCTATGTCAAGGGACACAGAGTGCCCCTGGCCCCCCAGATTTTAACTTGTTTCTGTATCTCTTTATTTCTCATCTTCATCACCCCTTGGTCAAGTTTGAGCTTGCAGGCTAGTTCCTACAGTGAGAATTCAAAATGGTATAGCCATGTTGGAAGACAGTTTAGCCAGTTATTACAAAAGTGAAAATATCCTCACCATACAATTCACAAATCATAAATCTTGGTGCTACCATGTGTCATGGATCTGAAAGATAGATTCCAGATCATTGTGTATGGTGAGCAAAGAATTGCAAGTGTATCACTGCTGGTAAAAGAAAAGCAGTCACATGTATTGAAGTTAATGGGAGCCTGTGGTTGGGGCGTGTGTGTCCATGCCAACAGAAACAAAAGGTGCCACCAGTGGGAAAAGGACTGCTGGGACACTGGGCAGATGGGAAGAATATTCCCATTGGATCTCTCTGGACGTGGTGGACAGAAATGATTGACAGGGTGTTGAATCATCTCAGGGTCATCCGGTGCACATGACTCTCCCACAATTCACTCTGCTTTAATCACGTGCATGATATTCAGTCCCCATACATGAACCTTTAATGAAGCTCAAGTGGGGAAAAGATTACTATGGTCATGCCATCAGATCCAACACGCATGCACATACCCTGGGCTGCATCTTCAGAGCTTTAATGGGTCTTTGTTTTTCTTACTTCTTCTCCTCTTAGGACAATGGGAGCAGGATTGGCCCTGAGGTGTTGCCCAAATTCAGATGGATGGAGGGGAGTGGCCTCACAGTCCCACTTGTGCTACATGTACTATTTCCCAGAGAGACCTGGTCCCTGAAAATCTGTAAGGGATGCAGGAAGTGGTAGGTCCACTTTCTATGGCTACTTCCTGTTTTTCAGCTATGAAGAGGAAAAAGGCTTCCTTAGCTCTAGGATTCCTAATGCTGGGGCCTGTATCTTTGCCCATTTTAAGGCTCAGAAGGACTCTTCAGCAGCTACTGTCTGTTTCAAGGCTTCAGTTTCTAGAGCTTGAGTTGCCTCTTTTGTGTAAAGGTTTGGCTATTACTCTACAACGAGGCATCCACAGGTGGCATGAGCCCACCATTCCCAATGGGTCTTTTATTATTGAGTTGGATTGTGTTCATCTGCTCTGACTAACATAACATCTGTGAGGACTGTGGGCTTGTGGTGGCATGGGGTTGTTTTCTTCTTAAGCAAATGACTTTCCCTCTAAACCTGCTTTGATATTTGATTCTCTCTGTAGAAACTGTAAGCTTCCTAGATTTGTGGTAACCACACACACACACACACACACACACACACACACACACACACAAAGACAATTCAAAAGAAAACAGTTGTTACAAGAGCAGGGGCAGAGTTTTCAGTTTGTTTACAGGAGAAAACTAGCCCAGGCTTCCAGCATCCCATGTAGAATCAGCCTGTCTGGGGGCACCATCAGCAGCTGGTTGCAACCCTTCCCAAGGTTAAAGGGAACAGGTGACGATCGGGGCTTTGGGGTGTGGCTGTAATTCGCCCTCTCTGGGTATCTGCACCCTGTGGGCTTGGAAGAGCCATTTATTATTTCCACCTCCCGGGATATGGAACAACACTGTGTTGGCATGAAGCTCACAGAGGATAAATAGCAACATGTGCAAGGGCTAAAACACTTAGCACCAGGCTGCACTCAGGTGATCCCTTGGCCTGGAACCCTCCAGTCTGTCTCACCTCTCCCCTGTAAGGCGCTGCTGAACCATATGCTTCCTCTGCAGCTTCACCCTTCAGTGCCCACTCCCTCCTCTTCGCTCCCCGACCCGCAGTGGCCACCCCTTACCTCATAGTCTCATCGGCAACTTTGCCTCCATATTTATCCTTTGCTCTGCGAGTGTGGAATCTGAGGAGTCTGCTCTGATCACCTGTCAAGAAAAGAAAAATGGGACCATTGTTTTAGACTAAAGCAAAAGCGCTTGAAATCCACGTTCATGTGGTAAGTTTGAGCATGGCATGAAGGGAAGGAACCTAAGGGCGCCCCGTAATGCCGGATCGGACTGCATACTGCAAATGTTCAGGGAGACCTTGGATTCTCCCTGAAATGTTGTCACCTTGAGACTCAAACCTTACAGTTATGCTCACTTTAAGAAATAGGCCAACTGGGGCCGGGGATTTAGTTCAGTGGTTTCACCGCCTGCTGCGCAAGAGCAAGGACCCGAGTTCAATCCCCGGTACCAAAAAAAAAAAAAGAAAGAAATAGTCCAAGCTGGGTATGAAGGCACACCACTGTAACCCCAGCACTTTGAGTGACTGAGGCTGGATTATTCCAAGTTTGGGGCCACCTTGGACAACCTCACACATTAGTGAGACCGTGTCTCAGAAGTTAAAAAAAAAAAGAAAACATGTAGGGAGTGCTGGTGATATAGCACAGTGTGAAGACCCTGGGTTTGGTCTAAAATACCACAAAAAAGAAACAATACGCTTGAGATACTTCCTATTATGTCCATCCCCATGCTAGCTAGGCTGTGTTGTTCGGGTGCAGAGCCAGCTTGATGGGCTGTGGGAGTGGGCTGAGTGGTGGAGCACAGTTGTGGGTGTGGCCCCTCGAGTCAGGCAGCCAATGGTCTATCACCATTTTCTCCCGGGTCCTCTTCCCCTTTCTTTCCTGGCTGCCATAGTAGGCATCTTTGCTCTGCCATGGGCAACCCATGGAGTGTCTGTCTTGAACCCAGGAGTCCAGGACTGAATCCACCTAAAATTGTGACCCAAATTAAGTCTCTCCTCCTTGAAGTTGTGGGTGTTGGGTATTGTGTCTAAGGGATGGGAAATCTGACTAATATGTAGACTGTAGGAACTAAAACAAAAAAAAGGCATGGTTGCCTCCCCAAAGACATTCCACATTGAGTAGGAAACAGACATATTAAGTATGTTTCTATTCACAGAGCAAGGACTTAGGTAGAGATTTGCTTGAGTAATGGTGAGACTACAGGAAATGGACACCTCAACCAATCAGGGCATCTAGAAGCAGTTTTTGGTGGAAAGAAAAGATGAGAAGAAATAAGAGAAACATCTATGATTTTCACTGTGTTTAGGTGCTTTGGCTAGCAGACAATTGTGACAACCATGGGATTGTATATAGTGACAGTTGTGTCTTGGATGATGTTAAAGCAGTCTTATCTCTGCCTCCCTTTGGCATTTACTTCTATACTGAGAAACTTCATTTCCATACTTGAGAGGTGATGACAAATGGGAAGCTTTTATGAGAAATTAAAAATGGCACAGTAAGGCTAGCAGCAAAATACAGCCTCTTCAGGCTGGAACCAACACACTTGGAAAACTACTACTTAGAGAAAAGAAGTAGAGGGCCGGGGACTTAGCTCAGTGGTTCCACCACCTGCCTTGCAGGGGCAAGGTCCCGAGTTCAATCCCCAGTACCAAAAAAATAAAATAAAATAAAAAGAAGTAGAGCTCAAGGAATCACAAAAGATCCAACAGAAGAACTAGACACATCAGGAAAACAAGAGAAAGAATATAACATAGAGAAAATAAAGAAGTCAAGATTGCTGACCCGTGTACCTAGCGAGGAGGCCCTAGGTCTGCAGACGCAAGGTCAGCATAGACAGGGGCAGCAGCCCCAGGAAGAACAATGGACCAGCAGCCCTAGACCCAAGGAAGCCCACAGTTATTGTAAGCTGCATAGAGCATGGGGTCTCACTCGGAAAGTGACTCCTTCCACATGGCAGGGCAGAGTTGGAGAAGAAATCCAAGGCACCATCCACCATATTTGGGTTAACATAATCAGAAGCCCTTTGGGGGAGGGGTTTATTGTTTAGGACTGGGCTTCCCTAGGAATCAGGATTCACAGAACAAATACACTTCAGGGCCTCTGGGGTCAGGCTTCCACAGTGAGTGGGAAGGAAATGGCCACGAGAGACAGCGGCAGGGAAGGGGCAGGCTAGGTGCAGATCCCTGAGAAGTTCAAACAGCAGCAAGCTTTCGAAGGACACATCTGTGCCACACTCTGTGCTGAGAAGCCGGGCTGACCATGTGCTATTCAGGGGGCCGAATCTGAAAGTGCTGATACTGTGAGCCAACTGCTCGGCCCCTCCCTGCCTGCTGCTAGCACAGAGCTCAGTGCTGTTTCCTTTCCCACCTCTCCACATGCTCAGGGGTACAGCTCGGCTTGGACAGTTGCCCATCTTGGGGTGGACAGACACAGGGACTCTGAACAGGGGAGCCACCTCCCAAGCCCACAGGCCATACAGCTAGGCAGACAGTGACTCGGGGGCAGCCAGAAGGGCACAATCACCGAGAGCTGCTTCGGTGAATGCAGCCCTAAGGCAAACGTATCACTGACTGACCAAGCCCACCAGGAAAGGCCAGGCAGGGCAGCATTCACATAGCAAAAAGCAGGCATGGGAACAAATAGGCCTCACTACGACTTCCTGTCCCACCCCTGTGCCTGGTGGATTCCAACACCACCGGCCCTGGAAAGAAACCACTCACCCAAACACATGGTGAAATTTTGTAGACTTGTTTCTTTTATTCTGTTTGTTGGATGTTTTGTTTTTGTTTCTTTTTAATCTTTTATTCCTGTTTTTATTCTTTTCAATTCCATTTTCTTTTGCTTGTCTTTTTCTGTTACTTTTACCTAATTCTATTAACTATTTAATCCTTCAATTGGACTTTTTAAACTTACTCTTCTCTCTGTCTTCTCATTTTTGTTGTTTCTCATATTTTACTTCTTTCATTTTCTATCTGCCCCAACCCCTCCATTATCATCATCATTATTATTATTAAGCTTTACAAATTTTTATCATTTTTGTCGACTCTATGCAATTATGGCTGAATTATTTTCTATTGTTAAATGTGATACACCTGTTGCTTACTGTAGGTATTTTGTGTATGTCATTATTTGGTTTGTCTTTGTGTATACATCTTCATTACAAATATCTTTTCTCTTGTCAAGAATGGCATATCTGAAAAAAAAAGTAAAAAGAAAAAAAAGAATGGCATATCTGTAGCTATTGTTGGTTCTTATGGTACGTGCATAATTAATTTGTCTCTTTTTTTTGAGACAGAATCTCTCTATGTAGTTCGGACTGGCCTTGAACCCACTATGTAGCCTAAGCTGGCCTCAAACTCATAGCTATCCTCCTGCCTCAGCCTTTCAAATGCTGAGATTACAGGCATGCACCTCCATACCGGGCACTAGTTTGTCCATGACTCTGTGATTATTGTTGTTTTATTTTGTATTGTTAATGGTGATATTGTTTTTCTTTTAGTTGGTTTTCACTGTACCCTATTTGTTGGTTTATCTTTGTAACACAAACATTAGTGCAGGTCATTCTCTCCTCTCTGAGTGGTACTGAGGATCAAGCCCAAAGAACATGAAGGACTCTAAGAAGACCCTGGAAAAGTTGAAGATGGATACAAACATAAAAACATAGAAAAACACAAGTACACATCACAGTGAGACAGAATCTAATTAGAGATCTTCACAATAGTGACAGATACTCTGCTCTGAATAATCCTCAACCCTGTGTCCAATGAACACTAGAGGCCAGGCATGGTGGCACATGCCTACAATCTCAGCACTTGGGAGGCTGAGGCAGGAGGACTGCTGTGAGTACACAGTGAGACCCTGTCTCAAGTCGATAAATAAATAAGTAAATAAATAAATAAAACATAGAAAGCCTAGGAACATGATGCTCTCCAAATGCCCTAACTCCCTACAAGCTGATTTCACAGACACCGAAGAAGAGCAAGCTATAGGCAAAGGACTCAGAAACTAAATGTCAAAATATTTGAAAAGATAAAAGAAATGCTAAAGTGTTTAACAAGCTCAAAGAGGATTTAAACAAATTATTTTTACAAATAAAATGTTCAGTAATCTTTGTGCTTTTTTTTTTTTTTTTTTTGGTACCGGGAATCGAACTTGGGTCCTTGCGCTTGCGCAGCAGGTGGCGAAACCACTGAGCTAAATCCCCGGCCCTTAATGTTCAGTAATCTTAAAGAAGAAACAAACAGTAAAACTGAGTTAAGGAATAAAATGTAAGACATGAATGAGCACTGTGAAGGAGAATTAGAAGGTATACAAAAAGCAACCAGAGATAGATGGTATGAAAATTTAGTGGAATGAATAGGTAGCTAACTTGGCCAATATGGGGCTACAGTGTTACAAACAGAGGAAAAAGTGGGGTCAGGGATGCAGCTCAGTGGCACTGCACCTGCCTTGCAAGCACAAGGTCCTGAGTTTGATCCCCAGGACCAAAAAAAAAAAAGAAGACAAAGGTAGATGTAGTAGATCACATACTCAATAATACCCTAAAAAATGACAAGTCACTATGTAAGCTAGATACAACAGGTGCTAGATGACTCAAAAATAACAAGCTCAAAATTATAAGGATAAATAAAAAAATTAAAAGACAATTCAAAAGGTATAAAAATGTATGTACTAGCTCCGAGTGCCCAGGAGGAGGCTTCTGGGCCACCGTATCAGCCCCCTCAGTACACAGGAGGTGAGCTGCGTGGTTGCCACAAACCCCCCTCCCCTGTCAAAAATGAGAAGACATGTAAACAAGTCTCAAAACCAGACTTCCAGATCACCTACAGCAACCCCAAAGGGAAATGAGATGGAACACTTTGATACTCA